AACACCTCCAGGGATGGGGCAGCCACAGCTTCTCTGGGACACCTGCGCCAGTGCCTCACCACCCTGAGAATGAAAATTTCCTCATATCTTATCTAAATCTCCCCTTTTCCAGTTTGAAGCCATTCCCCCTCGTCCTGTCACTCCATGCCCTTGTAAAAAGTCCATCCCCAGCGCACTGGAAGGGGCTCTATGGTCTCCCCGGAGCCTTCTCCTTTCCAGGCTGAACCCCCCCAACTCTCTCAGCCTGTCAGCCCGGATATCTTTTTATCCTCCTTGTTCTGCCTCTGCCTGAAACCACTTTGATCTCCAGCACAAAGAAGAGCAACCAAAGGGTCGCAGTGAGAGCCGGGCTTTGGCCAAGCCTGGGTGAAGGCGGTGGTGGTTCTACCTGTCCCGCTGCCGCCGAGGAGGAAAGAAGGGCACAGAGCGACCAAGTCTGCCGCACCAAAACTTTCTGCAATTTCTTCCTTTATGGTGCCGCACAGAGACCTTTCCCAGGGTTAAGGTCCACTCTGCTGGAGGATGCACAATAAAACAGCGAGAATAACAGCCTACGTAGAGGAGGGACAAAGACATTTAATCTGTCCTGTTTTATAGGGCAGAGACAAAGGGAGGAAAAAGCCTGTAGTTGCCCATATACACATATGGGCACATATGCCACCAGCCAAAACCGTAACGAGGAGCACCTTGCTTGTCACAACCGCATCCCTTTGGTCTTTACTTCGTGTGCCCTTCGCATCTCGGTCCATGCAGTCTCTGGCAGTTTATTTTCACGTTGGTACCCAAACCCGGCGGGCAGCCCCTGGGCGAGGAGCCGGGATGCTCTCGTAGGGCAGCGACTCCCGCGCTGCATTTCTGAAAGCTGGTTTGAAACAGAAGCAAACATCAAAAATGGGAGAAAAGTCCTGAAGATTGGTCTGCCTTTCCTTTCCTCTTGGAAGAAAAGACGGGATCATTTTTTAAGTCTGCCTTCCACTTGAGACTGTGCATGCTTGAGCAGGTTGTTTTTTTCTGCGCCAATCCTTGCTGTATAGCATACGATATGATATGCAGTTGCCCCCCCCCCCCTGGCTTGGAGCAACCTGGGCTGGTGGGAGGTGTCCCTGCCCATCACAGGAGGGTTGGAAGTAGATGGTCTTCAAGGTCCCTCCAGACCAAAACTATTCTATGAAAACATTTTTTGGTGTGAGTGTCAGCCCCGAAACCTGGTGGGGAAGGGTGTGGGCTGGAACAGAACATCTATGGGATGGTTTGGCGGCTCGAATTTATGCCAGCACTAGCAAGGCTTGGTTATGGGTCCTCCACATTTCGGTCTTTCCTGGATCAGGGACCTGGATCTGGCCCTCTTGCCTCCTCCTTCCTCAGCTGTCTCCTTCATTCTGGACCATTCCGCTCTACAACTGAGGAATAACAACCAGACAGCAAAACCATGAAGAACATGGGATCATCTGA